CCGGGCCGGGGACACGGTCCAGCCCTTCCGACCTAGCAGCAGATCGCCGGGCGGGAGACCAGGTGCAGCGGGCCGCGGAGCTGCAGCTCGTTGGCAGTTAGTTTCCTTCCAGGTGGCAGCAGTCGAGCGTAGCTAGCAGCCTGCTTCTGTTCCTCTTCCGTGTGGCCGCTGTCCGTCGGCGCTGATGAGGCACTGCCGGGTCTCTGATGGGAAGCGTGGATCCCAGCACCTGAGTAACAGCGCTGACTCCAACCCCTAATGCGCCTCCTGCTTTGAAATCTGTTCAAAGGACCCGTCGCGCACTGGTTACTGTGTGAAACTAGCTATATTGTCTGTGTTTTACGCAACAATCCTGCCCTGAGCAATCGGAGTTCTAACTCCAACTTCTGTGTTCTTAAGCGCTTCACGGTGCTGCTCCCCTAAACTTACAGCCCCCTTCAGTTTCGTAGCCCACCCTAAGTCGGAGTGCACCCTGTATCTCAATTCCAGATTCAGAACAGTTTCCTGTAATGTCTAGTGGTGCAACATGATTTTGTTGCAGGATAGTCTTATTTCCATTAATACATGTTTGACTCTTTCCCTCCTTTCCTGCCCCTTCCAATTCTTGGTCACCTTCCCACTTGCAAAAGCTTTATTTTCATCATTTCCCCTCTTTGATTCTTTTTGTTTGTTTGTTTGTTTTTTTGTTTGTTTTTGTTTTTGTTTTTGCCCTCTCCTTTCTCTTTTCTCTCTTCCCTCCCTCCTCTTGTTCTTCCCATCCATTTGAAAAAGAGCTCCCTGCTTCCTTTTTACTTCTATTTTGTTTTCTGTCTCTCTCTCTATATATATATATATTTTTTTTTTCTTTTTTTGAGACATTGTCTCACCATACTGACCTTGAGCTCACTGTATAGCCCAGGCTGGCTTGAACTCATAGTGATCCTCCTGCTTCAGCCTTCTAAATTCCTGGGATCACAGATTCGTGTCACCACGCCCAGTTTACAGATATTTTTGAGTTTCTCATATAAGAAAGAAAGCATGGGATATTTCAGTTTGTGTGTCTGACTGATTTCACTTGATATTTCTGTCTCATGTTGCATCCATCTAACTCTGAATGCCTCATGTTTATCTTTGTGGCAGAGTAGTACTTCATGGTGTATAAATACCATATTTTCTTTGGCCATATGTTGGTGGGCATAGAGGCTGTTTGCAAGGTTTACCTGTGATAAACTGTGCTGCTGTAAACATGGGTAATCATGTATCACTGTAATGTGATGTCTTTAACTCTTTTGGGAGGAGACCTAGAAGGTGAATCACCAGGTCAAATGGAATTTCTAGCTTTAGTGTTTTGAAAGCCTGATAGGGGAATGCTGCAGTTACCAGAAGCTTGTAGAGAGCTGACATCTCTATAGATACCTGTTGTTTGTAATATGGTTTAAGGTGTTAACGGGGTTTAAAAACAAAAATCCCGGGGGCTGGGGGATAGAACCTGTGCTGGGCCCTGGGTTTTGTGCCAGCTTCAGAAGAGAGATGAGAACGAGTCACTGTCACATTATAGGAGCAGTGTTTGGGCAAGTTACTTCACTTCTCTGGGCTTCCATTTTTTTTTTTTCATCTGTAAAACAATGCTGATAATATTATTCATAGGTTAGTTTGCATCCAACAGCTCTAAACTGAAGCTTTTATTCTTTTTTTTTTTTTTTATTTTTTTTTTTTTTTTTTTTTTTTTTTTTTTTTCTTTGGTACCAGGATGGAACTCAGGTCCTTGCACTTGCGAGGCAGGTGGCGCAATCACTGAACTAAATCCCCAGTCCTGAAGCTTTTATTCTTGATTTAAAAAAAAAAAATCCATACTAGGGGTTGAACCTGAGGCCTTGAGCATGCTAAGCAAGTTGTATTCCACTGCGCTACATCCCCAGCCCTTGAAGCTTTTATCCTTAATGAAGCTGTGATTATTTATAAATATTTTTGTTTTCTTTTTAGCATTATGACAGTGAAGAGGACATGTTTGGTGACTATGATAGTTTTACTGAAAATTCCATTTTAGCCCAAGTTGATGACCTGGAACAGAAATATATGCAACTTCCTGAACAGGGGAAAAATGCTACAGACTTTGCCACTGAAGATCTTTGCTCAGAAAGCATCAAAAACAAACTCAGTGTTATTCATGTAAATGACTCTACTGAATATGAAACTGGAGAGCAGACAGAGAACCAGACTAGGCTTGGAGACATCCATGCTGAACCTGGAGATGAGCCTTTGTATGATGTGCCTTCTTCCCAGGCGCTATACTTTGAAAACCTGCAGAACTCTTCAAATGGTTCAGGCCACCAGTCCACTAAAGAAAAGGACAGGAGCTCATGCTCTCACACGAATGAAGAATTGCCTGATAATCAAATAAAGCAACCGCAGCCAAACAATGAATTGTCTTCTGAAGTCCAGACTAGTTCAGAGAGGAATAGAAGAAAAAGTATTAAAGATTATCTAAAAAGTGCCATGACTGGAAATGCCAAAGCCCAAACACCAGTATTTTCTAGGAATAAACAGCTCAAAGAAGCTCTCCTATCTGAAGAGATTAATGTTGCTAAAGAAACAATTGAGTCATCATCAGATGACCTTGGTCCTTTCTATTCATTACCCAGCAAAGTGAGAGACCTTTATGTTCAGTTCAAAGGAATTGAAACATTATATGGTAATGCTTTTGGCTGAAATGAAATCAAAATTTTCTATCATCATAATGTTAGCACAGATAATAGAAGCAAATGCTTCCATGGTCTCAACTTGAAAGATGGAAATAACATTCCTGTCCTCGAGCTTCTACCTATCCTGCTGCTATTGAACCTTTTTCCCCAAAGTCACACTTCTCAAAGCTGTCATCTTAGTGTCTCATTTCTTACCTGAAGTTGTTCCTCCAGTCCACGCTGGGTTCTGTTCCGTGGCTGCAGATGTGATAACTAGGGTGTCTAAACCCAGTCTCACTCGTCTAGTTTCTCAACAGCTTACCTGCTGACCACACCATTCTTTTTTTTTTGTTTTGTTTTTTGGTACCGGGGATTGAACTCCAGACCTTGCACTTGCAGAGCAGGTGGTAGAACCCCTGAGCTAAATCCCCGACCCTACACCATTCTTGAAATTCTCCTTTCTTGGCTTGCTTCTGATTTTCTTCTCTGATTTTCTAGCTGCTTCACAGTTTTCTTAGTTGGTGTTGGCTGGCTCTGTTTAATACACCAAAATTTATTTGTTGAAATTCCTTTTAACATTCAGGTGCCTGAATGAAAGAAGTCAGTAATCCCATTGGTTAAAAGTACGCACATTTATTTAATTAATGTATTGTTTATTTTTGGTTTGAGACGGTCTCACCATGTAGTTCAGCCTGGCCTGGCCTCAAACTACAGTGATTCTCCTGCCTCAGTCTCCTGAGGGCTGGCATTATAGGTGTGTGCCATCGTGCCTGGCAAGTAAGCAGCTTTAAAGACCGCTAGCTCCAGTTCAGATTTAATCTCAAAGAAACGTGTCTTGTAATGTTTTTTTAAAAATCTGGGATCTTTCCATATGTTTCAATTGTGTCTTTTTTTTTTTATGAAGAAGGGACAATTGCTGACATACTGGGAGGTGAGCCCATCAATCTGACACTTCATAATTATTTGTGGAACTCGTAATCTTAAAGACCTTACATAGATCACATATAAAAGCGTGGATTATTATCTCGGGAGAATACAGTCAAGTTGAAGAAATAGGACTCAGGAAATAGTCTAATCCCACTCCACAGGAGTGTAATGAATTCTAAATTTCGAGGTTAGGTTCCTGCTTTAAGAGCTATTGGGCTATATTGCCTGTGAAGTAGATGTTGGCGCTTTACTTTTCTCCTAGCACTTAATTTTTTATCTACACCTCCTGCCGGGATGAATGCCCTGAGAACAAGACTCATATTTACCTTCTCCTATGTAGTTAGCACTGTGTGACGTACTCCAATAGGTTTTCAACTGCTGGAGGTTGTGGGTCTTCTTATGAGTGCTGGCCCTGTTAAACTTGGCTCCTCGCCTATAAAATGAGGTAACGCTTTCTGCAAGTTATATGCTTGGTCAAAGTTGATATTTTTATGACTATTAGATATTGTAATGACTACCAGTAATTACACTGAAAGCTTCTTAAGTGTAAGAACTTCAGTAAATAACTTTTTTTTTTTCCATACTGGGGTTTGAACCCAGGACCCTACACTGAGCTACATCCCCACCCCATCCATCCACCCATTCATTTATTTTGGAGACAGTTTTGCTGTTTAGTTCAGGCTGGCCTTAGACTCACTATGTAGCCCAGGCTGACCTTGAACTAACTCACTGTGACCCTCATGCCTCAGCCTCTGGAGTTCTGAGATTACAGGGGTGCGCCCCAGAGTCTCAAACTGGCCTCAAATTTGTGGTGAGCCTCCTGTCTCGGCCTCTGAGTGCTGGGTTTATAGGTATGCACCTCCAGCCCTTGCTTTAATTCTCATTTTCCTTGTAAATCTGGTTTAATAAGATGGCAAATTTAAGGCACAAATGTGTGTGTTGACTTTTACTACACTAAAGCAGTGGTTCTCAGAGTGCAAGTCCTAACCTGAAGTGTCAGTGCTACCCGGAGACTTAGAAACGCCCATTGTGGCCCAGCCGGCTGCCTTAAAGCCCCTGGGGGACACTTGGCAACCCAAGTGCAGTACCCTTCTGAGGATTCCGACACGAACCTTAACCTTGCTTGGCCTTTTTATCATAGAACTGTGCGCTTGATGTGTTTTATGTAAATACTGCAAACTAAGTTGATATCATTTATTATTTAATCTGTAAATATAAAGAATTTAAGTACTATGTATTAAATTTAAGGGGTTTTGGTTTGGGTTTTTTCTTTTAATTTTAAAATTTATTTTTGGTGCTAAGGATCCTCAGACCCAGGGTCATGTGTATATATATGGTCAGGAAGCCCTACTCTAGTATTTTTGAAATATCTTTAAAGAAAAACACAGGGTTGGGATATGGCTCAGTGATAGAGTACCTGCCTGGGGTGGTATACGTGAGGTCCTGGGTTCAATCCTGAGCAATGCAAAAGAAGGAAAAGGGGGTAGTCATTTGTGAATATTTGGTACTCACTGGGAAAAAAGTCACCTGGAACTTTCATTCAGACACAACTATTTCTATTTCTAGTACCTTTGAGATATAGCCTGTCAGTAATTCTTATTTAATTTTTGTTTATTTTTTAATTGATTTAATTTTGGGGTTTCTTTGAGGAAGGTTCTTGCTATGTAGTTCGGACTACTCTTGAATTCACTGTGTAGCCTTGGCTCGCCTCAAGCGCACAGTGATCCTTCCCCAGCCTCTCAAATGCTGGGATTATAGGCATGTGCCACTATGCCCAGCCTAATTTAGTTCTGAAAACATATTCAAACCCAATCTTTTTATGTATAGATTTCAAATATTTGTACATAATTACTCTACACAGTCTCACTGCGTAGCTCAGGCTAGCCTCAAACTCCCAGCAATCTTACTGCCTGACCCTCCCAAGTGCTGGGATTACAGGCATGTGATGTGACACCCAGGTCTACCCCTCTCCCTTTTTTTTTTTTTTTTTTTTGTACCGGGGATCAAACTCAGTCCTTGCGCCTGTGAGGCAGGTGGCGGAACCACTGAGCTAAATCCCCGGCCCCCCCTCCCGTGTTTAAACTGCAAAGAATTATATCGTGACTGTGCAATAATTCACTTAACCCTGCCACCTCCACACCTTGTTAGCCACAAGCACAGCTGTGATTAATACACTGTAGAGCCTTTTTATCCCTTTGTGTAGGTGCAGGGTCTGAGAAATACTCAAAAGCAATATGTAGTTTTCTTTTTTTAAATTCTTGGTACTGAGGATTGAACTTGAACTAAGGACCTTTGCACTTGCAAGGCAGGCAGTGGAATCGCTGAGCTAAATCCCCAGCCCTGTACTTTTATTTTGGATGCTGCTAGATTACCTTCCTGAAAGAGTATAGCTGTTTGTGTTCTCACAAACTGTAGAGGAGAATGCCTCTTTCTCCTCACTCTGCCCAACTCTGGATTTTACACATATGGATCTCTTTTTTTTTAAGAATTTATTTTTTCAACCCTCCAAAATTGCATTGAATGTCGTTTTATATATGTATTTGCCATTTGCATTTCTGCCTGATGTGAAATGTCAGGTCTTTCCCGGTTTTTCTTGTTTTGTTTTTGTTTTGAGACAGGGTCTCACTATGTAGTACAGGCTTGAACTCAGAGCAATCCTTCTACCTCAGCCTCCCAAATGCTAGGATTACAGATGTGCATCCTTACACCCAGCTGCCTGTTTTTCTAAAGATAAACTACTATTACACATTTTAAAGACTTTTATGGTTTCATACATTGTTGTTATTCTACAAAGCAGCTATATTAATGTTCACATCATCTCTTGAATCTGATCTGTTTTCATGAATCCCTCCTTGCTAAGTTGTATGAATGAAGCTTGAGATGTATAGGTAAGTACAGTAATTCTAGTGCTTTATGGTTTAATCTTAGCAGTTTAAAATGGTATTTGAACTATTCAATGTTCAGATCCCTAAGAAAGTTAGTTGAAAAAAAAATTTTTTCTCTTTGTACCACGGATTGAACTTGGAACCTTGCACTTGCGAAGCAGGCAGTGCAAACACTCAGCTAAATCCCTGGCCCCTAGTTGAAAAATTGTTTTTCTTTTCTTTTCTTTTTGAGACAGTGACTCACTATGTAGCTCATGCTGGGCTTTAACTCACTATGTAGCCCAGGCTGGCCTTGAACTTGTGGCAGTCCTTGTGCTTCAGCCTCCCAAGCGCTGGAGGGTTCGCCCCCATGGTCAGCACCCTCCCTTACCTGCCCACTGGCCACGCCTGAGCTAGGCTCTTACTGACTGTGTGCATGGGATAGATGACATGTAACATTGACTAGAAGTGCATTTACCCTTATGAGGTGATTACTACAGAAAGAAGGGTTTGATTTTTCCCTTCATGGAAAACTTTCTTGAGATTGAGAATATATATAGAAGAGGCAACTAAGGTCTTTCTTTAAATTTCACAACACACAGTACTTAACACTGAGTCCCACCCCCCCCTTAAATTCCACAGAATGGCAACATACTTGCTTAACACTGAGTTGTGTGCAAGAACGAAAAAATTTAATTTATTCCTTGCCAACAAGTGGTGGGAAAACCCTCGTAGCTGAGATCTTAATGCTACAAGAATTGCTTTGCCGGCGAAAAGATGTTTTAATGATCCTGCCATATGTGGCAATTGTCCAAGAAAAGGTATGTCTTTATTTATTTATTTATCATTTTTTTGGTACTGGGGATCGAACTCAGAACTTGGTGCTTGCAAGGCAAGCAGCTGAACCATTGAACTAAATCCCTGGCCCAAAAGGGTATGTTTTTAAACAAATGTTGTTTGCTAATATAATGACATTAAGAGCTAAACGTTAGCATGAATAATAACTTTGTATCTACTATAAGGAAATACCTCTTCACGATAGAGAATTAATATATTTAGAAAGTGCGAAAGCAGCATACTTGCCTGAGATTGCTTCAAGTACTAACTACCTACTCTAGAAAATTTTATTATTTCTAAACTGGTGGATAACCCTCCATCTTAAATGTTTTCAGGCAGAAACTAACCAACTTTTGTTGCGGGGGGGCTTGTGGTATCAAGGATTGAACTTAGGACCTTGCGCTTACAAGGCAGGCATGGTACTACTGAGCTAAGCCTCTGGCCTACCAACTTTTTGATTAAGATAAATGAGCATTGCTTTGTGACATCAAAGGAGATAGCTGAAATTTATTTTCACCTTTACTATTGTAGTTTAAAAGTTACATTTATTTACAGATATCATTTCTTTATTTTTACAGTATTTCTTAGATATTATGTCTAGTATGCAGTTGGTTCCCATCAGCTGGTATTAAATGCTAATGTAGCTTTTTAAAAAAGTCCCTGTGACTAGTAATAGAGTCCTTATTTATTTGTATTTTTGTTTATCTTAATCTTTAGATTTCAGGTTTGTCAAGTTTCGGTATAGAACTCGGTTTCTTTGTTGAAGAATACGCTGGAAGCAAAGGAAGATTTCCTCCAACTAAAAGAAGGGAAAAGAAATCAATATATATTGCCACTATTGAGAAAGCACATAGCCTCGTGAACTCCTTGATTGAAACTGGAAGGATTAGTAGTCTAGGTCTGGTTGTCGTAGATGAGGTTGGTTACTAGTTTTGTAATTTATCAACATTTTAAATTTTTCTAACGTACTGTATTTGCGGAACTGACTATGTGGGTCTAATTAGTAACTCTAAAAATCGGTAATTCATTTAAATATACAGACAATATAGGTGTCTTACTTTCTCATTGCTAGGACAAAACACCGGACACCCAGATTTTTGGTTTTTTGTTTTGTTTTTTGGTATCCAGGATCGAACTCCGGTCCTTGTTGCTTGCAAGGCAGGCAGCGGAACCACTGAGCTAAATCCTTGGCCAGACTTTTGCTTTTGGAATTAAGAGAAGATGATTTATTTGAAGGTGGAAAAAAAAGGCGGGGAAAGAGAGAGATGGTAGATGATAGATCGCTACTCTGGAAGAGTAAGGAGCATTCAAAAGTGAAATACTCCTAGATTCTTGGCTGCAGGTCCTTTTATTGAATTCTTTGTCCCATGTAGGCGTTTGGAATCTGATTGGCTCCATGGCTGTTTTGGGTCCTCCCCTTGCATTTCTTCCTATCACATGACCTTTCCCGTTGTTTAGTGGAGGCTAGGACTGTGGGTGGGGGTTTAGGAACATATAGTTTAGGCATATGTATTAAGTAAAGGGGTTTAGGTTTTTTGCGTTTGTCTTTCTGATTGCTGTAGTCTCCCGTCTTTATCTTTTTAATCACTTAATCCTAATATGTGCAGGCCACTGCCCTTAGTAAGTCTCTCCTTTAACTTCTTTTGTTTTTTTCTCTAGCCATTAGCTTCTTCTCTTCTCCTTTAACTTCTAACAAAACTCAACAAGGCCTTCATCCTATCTTTTCCTTGTCTACACCCTCCCCTGCATTTCCCCCTTCAGCCAGAAGGTTCTTCTGATGGGCCTAGTTGGAAGAAGTCTGGCACCTTTACAGTGTGTTTCTCTGTACGACTACTTGGAGTTTGGCAACATCCAGGCAAGAATAAACAAGCTTTAGCAAAAGATTACAGCACATATGACCAAAACATGAACGATAGAATGGAAAGGCAGATCGAGGAAGGAGCCACATCAGACACTGTTTTTAAGGGTTGGAATAGCAATTGTAACCAGCTGGCCCTTGGAGCTGTCAGCAGGGGTCAGTGATTGGAGCCCCTCTCTGTCCGTCTAGGCTCTTACTCATATCTTTGGCTATATCCTTTTGTTCCACTGAGCTAAATCCCCAGCACTCTAGGCTATATCCTTTTGTTGCTGGATGATGTTTCAAGACCAAGTGAAAGTGACATCTTTGTCGATCGTGATTTGCTTCCTGATATATATTTCAAGGTCAGTTAAGTCTCCGCAGGGATTGCTTTTGGGGCCATGGTCAGAGTCTTTCATCTCTTTTGGCTCTTCTTTTGATGCTGATACCCAAAATTAAAGGAGGAAAGGTTTATTTTGGCTTACAGTTTGTAGGGGTTTCAGTTTATAGTCACCTGGCTCCGAGGCAGGGGGGCATGGCGGAGGGGCATCAAAGAGGAGAAACAGTTCATGGCAAAGCAGGCGGGAAGTGAGGCAAGATCAGGCACAAGGAGGGGATACACATTCCAGGCCACACCCAGTGACCCACCTCTTCCCCCATGCTTCCCCTCCCAACATCACACCCAGCTAAAACCCACTGGTGGTTTAATCCAGTATCACCCATGATCCAGGCACCTTACAAAAGCCCCACATTTTGAACACATGAGGCTTTGTGGGGACACCTAGATATAAGGCATGACAGCAATTGAAGACATTCATGTTTGGTAATCTTAAATTTGATTTTATGTGAAGTATTTCTTAAAATTGGATATGTCCATGTTTAGACATTTTTATATTCATAAGTGTTATGAACGGTCATGTGAGACCATTTGGGACAGGCTTTGTGAGAAAAAAAGACGTATTCCAGTGAACAGAGATTGAAATTAGGGGCAGATTTCAGCAGCTAGCTGGCAGAAGTTGGATCTGTTACTTCTGTGTGGATGAGCTAACATCAAGCGATAGTTATCAGCTGCTAGTTGAAGAAAATTAGGTTTATGCAGGGCTTGAAAAGGGGACTATGATCATAAATGTTTATGACTGAAGGTCCAAGGACAGTCAGTGCAGGTGTGCAGACCATCACTGGGCTTCTCAGCTCCTGTATATTCTATCCTAAACATCTTTTATGGCCGTCTGTCTTGTTTACTGAGAATAGCCCGTTGTTTGCTGAGAGTGGCCTGTTTGCTTTGCAAAGGTCTCATTCAGGCCAGGCATGATGCTAAGTACTATGGATTTCAGATCTGCCGGGGTATTGCCCCCAGAACTCATTAATTTCAGTACCAAAAGACAGACAGAGTCGATGCTATAGTTTTTATAACCAAAATGTTGTCGAGTTATAAAACAAAGATTGTACATTCATCCCGTACAAATATGTTCATGGTTTGTGTGGGCACTATATGAAGATTCACTCTATTCTTTTTCGTTTGGTTTTAATCTCAAAGTTGCACATGATCGGTGAAGGGAGCCGTGGTGCTATACTGGAAATGACCCTAGCAAAAATCCTCTACACGAGCAGTAAGTATTTATTGACTAGAATCCAGAGACCTATCTGTAAAGGATCTGTGGGATCACTAGATTATATAGATTAAGGTTTTAATTTAGTTTAATTTTTTTTTTTTTTTTAGTTTTTACGTTTCTAAAATGAGCTTATAAATTTTTGTTGGTGGAATGGCTAGGTGAGTGAGATTAGGAAGATCAGTGAAATTAGCATTAGAGGAACTCTGTTGCTCTTCTGCTCTTGCTAGCCTGCGTCACTAGTCTGTTTCTCTCTTGGTGAAGTGGACGTGGTAATGCTCTGACCCGATGAGACCACGGTGAGGGTTATACGAGAGAACACAAGTGCAGCAGCCTGCGGTGCCTACCTGGCACCCAGCCTTCAGCAAGGCTTTGCCACTGCCAGCTGCCACCCCCAGCGTCATGCCCATAAAGAAGTACGATCAGTCACTTTAGGAACTACTTTGCAATACTGGGTAGTCTTTAAATGTACAAAAGTGTGTATTGTAAATGTTGTCCCTGTATTGATATGGAATTGCAGTACTTGCACACAGGACAGGTATTAGCTGTAAAGGTCAAATCTTAAGATTTAAGGAGGTTCAGGGATTTAGCTCAGTGGTACCATGCCTGCCTCGCAAGCGCAAGGTCCTGAGTTCAATCCCCAGCACAGGGCGGGGGTGGGATGGGATTTGAGGAGAGAGTGTTGCAGGTTGAGCCCAAGATCTCACTCATTCTGAGGGCTTTACTACTGAGTTACCCCTCCAGCCCTCCAAAATTTGTTTTAAAATTTTGACAGCAGAGTGTAGCATTTTTTGATCATTTATTTTAACATTATTTATTGAATACCACTGTGTGCCTGCAGGTACTATTTTAAGTGCTAGAGAAACAGACAAAAAACAGAATAAAGTACAATACCTGCCTTTATCTAGCCTCTGTTTTAGTGAGTGTGAACAGATGATAAGCAGACAAACAAGAAAATACAGGGTATGTCAAATGTGATGAATTCTGTGCACCTTAAAACAGGGGAAGAGAAAAAAAAGAGAGGAAGAGGAAATGATTATCCATTTCTCAAATTCAGGGTATGCTGACTGTCTTTGTTTTAGTTTTTCTTTGGTATCTGTTTATTCTTTTTTCTTTGGGTGTGGGAGCATCATTCTCTCCTGGCTTTCATACTGCTTCTGTGTAATTCTGCTTTAGCAGTGAGCGATAGGCAGCACACTGTATTGGCTGAGGACAGACTCAAGCTAGATCTGAATCGTGGCTCACTGTCCTAGGTGCCCTGGGAGGTCCTTAATAGGACCTGTTTCCTTTGACATCACATATGGGTGACTGGAGTCCAGCCTTCCTCACTGACTTGCAAAGATGCCAAGAGTTGATTTTTGTAAGGCATCTAACATGGTAGTCACCACATAATGGACATTTATTTGCTGTTGTGTAACTTTTTCCTTTCATCGCCAGTGCTTTACACTTAATAGTCAGTTGAATAAAATTAGCCTTTTTAGTTTTTCCTTCTTGATTTTCTTCTGTGACATCTCCAAGCTTGCTCATTTTATATATTGGTGTTACGGTAAATTCATCATGGTTTGTTCCCTTGTTCCCCACAGTTAATTGTTATCCATATTCCTGATTGTCAGTACTTCCTGTATACTGATGGCTCCAAGTCTGTACTTCAGGTCACACTTCTCTTCTGCGTAATGTCGTCTGCCAAGTGGCCTCTCCTACCCAAGGCTTAGTCAAAGCCCAACTCCTTTCCTTCAGACCCATTCTTCAGACTGAGTTCCCAGCCACCACTCACCAGCCAGCCAGCCAAGCCAGAATCTTACAATTTATTTTAAAAGTTGGGGTTCTCACTGTGTTGGCCAGATTGGCCTTGGACTTGTGGATTCAAGTAATCCTTCTGCCTCAGCCTCCCAAGTAGCTAGGTAAAGTCTTAACAGCCTTCATTCGTAGGCATTCTGTCAGTAAACCAGATCCTTCCCGGTTTACCTCATGAGAATATGAATATACATATATATATATATTTTTTTTTTTCTTTTCTTTTC